ATTTTCCGACGACAGATACATGTTTTACGTCTTCGTCGTTAAGCAAAAGGGGTCAATTGTCCTCCCTTTAGGGATCCTAAAGATTTTTGCACAAAAAAAAAGTTGAAGGGCGGCATAGATGCCCTTTCCTAACAACTTTAGGGGTTTGTTTGCCCCTTTTCCCTAGTTTATTGCATTAATTCATAAACACATGAATACTATGGCCTTTTTATCTTAAACTGCCTTAAAAATAAAAACGGAGGTTGGAGATATATGTTAGGACCTGAGATATTATTACATTTTATTCATTATGGGATTAATTTAGAGTTTTTTTCCGGATTAACGCTAATTAATTAAATAATTACGGAATTAGTGTTGGGTTAAGACTGTTTACCAATATATTGATGGACTTAACTCTGGTCGGGGAAAGTCGTCAAACCGGATGACGACTTATAAGTCGTCAAACGGTTTGGTGACTTTCCCCTTCCCAAATAAGTTAACACCCAAACGTTTCAGACCGCCATCGGTCTGGACCCAACCGGGGCCGGTTGGGGGCGCCCCGGTGGCGAAAAATTGCATTTTTCGTCCTAAATCGATCCCGATTATCGCAATTCACCGTTTGACGACTTACAGAACACATACAAAACACATTTAGTAAAAATGATACAAAGCGTGATATACAGTTTGGTAAAAATGATACAAAATGATACAAAGTATTAATAACACAATATCCATTAATTTGCAGGTGAAAATACATTCAAAAGTAAAGCGTTTCTACAAAATTTGGTGTACATTATTTCGTCCAATAATAGAGAGACTACAACTTTTCATGGTCTTCTTTATCGTTTTGGTCATGGTCTTGGTCATCAATCAATCCTGGATCCGCTGACACCTCCATACTGCCTACAAAAAATGAAAATGTAGTTAGTCAGTAATTAATAAATAATTTGAAATCATTATTTTATAATTCACATTACTATGAGTTGCGGAATTTAATAATTAAATACTTACGAAGTGGACCCCCACCATCTCCTGAAGATCTCTTCGCACATGTGGCCCTATTATGACCGGTTTGTTTACATATTCTGCATCTTACGGTTCCTCTGTCACCTTCATCCATCTCATTCTTAATACGTGTGCACTTAGGTCTTCCCTTAGCCCGAAGCATGGATGGATCATACACAATTTCAGGTTCATTGTAAGTCGGTCAATAATCACGATCAGGAATGAGTTTAAAGACTCTTTGATATGTGGCAGTGTATTGGTGAGATGAGAAAAAAGGATACACAAATGGATGAGAAGACAAACTACGTTTTCTGCACACGGCTAATACATGGGAGCATGGAATCTTTTATATTTCCATCTTTTTACAAGTGCAAGTACGCCGCCGTAGATGGACAATTTGTTTTCTCCCACCCTTTCCCATCGTTCGGCCACCACATCCCGTTTCCACTTGGTATATCCCTTGGCCTATATCAAATGGAGTAACAGTGTGATGTTTGGCCTTTTCCCTATCCTTTTCAATCAAATCCGTGATGTGTGGGGAGTAGTCGTGGCCATCTGTCACTTTTCTTTTATTGCTTTCACGCCTATTAACAAAATAAGCATTAACGCGATAAAAGGAAACCTGGAGCAAAGCGGTGATGGACAAACATCTGGCATTCTTCATCACGCTGTTGAAAACCTCAGCCAGATTAAAAGTGATGGTATCGTATCTGTAATCACCATCGTGGTGTAATGACCACATTTCCAAGGGAATGTTCCCTAGATATTGTCGTGCCGCCACTTGCATTTCCCCTATCTTCTTGAACCCACCATCAAACTTCTTCTTTTTATGTTGCCATGCGGTCCATAGAAACAGATTTTTTAGGTGAGTGTCTTTGAAATGAGTGTGCACATTCGATGCAAGATGGCAGATACATAGCCTATGATGCTCCCAAGTATTGTCCACCTCATTCATTTCCTTGACTATACCTGCATGTCGATCAGAAATGACACACAACCCCTTATCAATCACAAACTCCCTAATGCATGCCATAAACCATGGACAACTCTCCCCATTCTCAGATTCAACAACTGCAAAGGCCAGGAGAAATAATTGGTTGTTCGCATCACTACCCATAGCCACGAGCAATGTACCATTGTAATTCCCATATAAGTGTGTGCCATCAATCGGGTGTAAACCTTTTCATACACGCTCCACTCATCCACGCGTCAGTAAAGCCTTCAGGGAGATCATATATTATAGATAAATGACTAGACGGGGTAGTTGTCGTGACAGTATCACCATCATCTTCATCAGATTTTGTCATGTCATCACCATTGATTTTCTCGTTAGCATCATCATCACTGGCCTGCTCATCCACAAATGAAGCACCATTGTGCAATATACATACCCTCTTCCTCTATAACCATATCTAGTACAACAACATTTGAGGAGTTCCCTGCATTGACACTTGCATTCACACCATGCCTAGATACAACAACATTTGATGTTGACGGAGCTGTACATTCACACCATGCCTAGATACAACAACATTTGATGTTGATGGAGCTGTAGAAGAGTCACTTAGGGATTCCTCAATGTAAATCTCCAGTGAGAACATACTCTCCATCTGAATTAGCGACAACATATTTGTGACAGCTAGCTCATCAACAAGTGGCATAAGCATGAAATTTCCCTCGTTAAGGGAAAATTTCATTTTCAATCGCAAAGAACGGTTCGGAGGAATCATTGTAGTAACATGTATTTTTTGAAGCATCTCGAGCAAACATGCGCCACGAGAAACAATGACAAAGCTGCTTACACCACCTTCATGGCGTATTTGGCCAGCATCCTCATAATAGTTCACTCTCCAATAACACACGATTGGAAAGTTGGAGAAATCCATACTCTAATAACAATACATGACGATAATGGATGAATACACATTAATATACACATTTTATACACCCAAATTCAACAATCCATAGACATAAAACATATTTAAAAACTCTCATATTTAAGAAAATCATATTACATATACAACACTTAACAAAGGCAAAATAATAAGTTTTTCACCTAAAAAATCAAAATATCACATTCAATATCACATTACTCAACAAATGCACAAAAACATCAAAAAATTACATTGAATTCAAGATTAAAATTCAACACTTCATAAATATTCACATTTCACAACAAATCAATTCACAAATTAATTCCTACTTTACAAATTCGAAAATTATGAATTGAAACCTAGGTTGAAAAATGAGATGAAATTGGGGATTTAATGTACCTAGAGGCTGAAGAAGATGATTGGGGAGTATATTTGGTAGGTGGAATGGCCTCCTAGTAGCTGTAGTCACCGGAAACCGTTGTTGCAGTTGCCCTTCGGCGCACCTTGGTCTTTGGAGGTGTTCGTTACTTCGTTCTATCTGTTTTGGAGTGAGTTGTGCGCAAGTTTTTTAACAGGCAAATTCGCCAAACCGGTTGACGACTTATAAGTCACCCAACCGTTTGGCGACTTACCCCGACCAGAGTTAAGTCCAACAGTATATTGGTAAATAGTTTTAACCCAACACTAATTCCGTAATTATTTAACTAAATAGTATTAATCCGTAAAATAAAACTCACTAATTTAAGTTGATAATAGACTATATATTCTATTATTCTAGCACAGCCAAAACCAATAGACTATTATAAACAACCGCCAAAAGTTACGGGGTCTACATAAATACATAAATTAGTTAGTGTGTTCAATGTTGCAAACTTGCAGCAAATAGCATGTTGATCTAAAACTATTATCAGTTTGTACGATATACGTTTGGAGTATACATTTGTCATGTCTCTAGATAAATCTTGTAGTCTCCTCTGATCTAGTTAGGAACCAGAAGCAACCACAATAATATAATAATAAAATTAGGAAAATAACATTTGTACACCTTCTTTAGATACGCTCCATTCATTTTATCACTATCACAAACAATTTGTCTAAAAAAATTAAAATTATCTGAAATTTTGAACTAACTATCTGTGATAAGCACAAAGGGAAAAAAGGAAAATTGCATTGCAAAATTCATAAAAGCGAATAATATGACCTTCAACATTTTTTTCTTGGTGTAAAAAATAAAACTATAATAATAGGTGTATTAGTAGAGCCTTGCTATCATCACATAGACCATTTGTGATTTGTACCGGTGGGGAAGACAACGAACTTCGTTCATATGAAAACAGTGTTTAGACTTCTATTTCCCCTCAATTTACCACTTTCCCTTTTAAGTAAAGAATTTGTGGTTCCAATTCATTCTCTCTCCTTTGCACAATCCTCAACCACAGACAGGGGTGGATCGGTTCCGGTTCGGGCCCGGTCGGGCCTTGGTTTTTTTTTTGGCTTTTCCTAATTAACCCCCAACCCTCCCCCCTCACCCCCAAACCACCTCAAATGGCCCATCATACCCAGCCCAACCCAAAAACTTAAAAAAAATTCAAAAAAAAAAAAGAAAAATAAATAATTTGGCACGGAACCGGGCCCGAACCGGCCATGCCGGTTCATGATTTAGGAGGCCCGGGCTCGGCCCGCCTACCTCACCGGGCCGGGTGGCCCGAACCGGGCACCAACCGGTTCACCGGGCCGGTCCGGGCCCGCACAGTGGCAAGCCGGTCCGGTTCCGGGCCGGTTGACCCGACCCGAGTCCACTACTAACCACACAGTTTTTACTTTATTGTTCCCCATGCCAGTCAAACTTGGCAAAGTTATTAGGGACGAAGGGAGTACACATTTGGATGTAAAAATTACGGAGTAATAGATTTCATTAATATTTTCAACGCTTTTCAGTTAACAAAAAATGAACTTAGTTCAAGTAAGTTCGATAGTGGAACATCCAGTTATTTGTGGAGGCTCCATGAATTAAAATTTTGGGTTTCTTAATTTTTGAGCTCAAAAAAACTGAGGTGAATTAAAAATCTAAAACAGTCTATTTGATCACTTTTCAAAACGTTTTATGTATGTAACAATGACTTGATTAATTTCACTTTCAAAGCGCAATAAAAATCAATTTTGTAGAATTTAATGAACTATGTGCTATATTTGTTCTTATTTTGAACATTATTTCACTAGATACGTTAATTGAAAAAAGTGAGACAACATTTTACAAGTCACAAAGATCACTGCACACATTAAGGCACTCGAAGCAGGCAAGTGCAGTGCAGAGTTGCGTGAAGGAAATCATACAACGATCACTCAGCTTGGAGCAGAAGTGAAGCAAACAGATGCAACAACAACGGCCGATCACCTTATTGCAACAGCTTGCCGCGGCGGCGCCCAGTACGGCGGCGTCGCTCAATTTCCGCTGGATAGCTCCAGAGGGGAGATTCTCGATTGTCGCCTTAATGTTTCCGAATCCAACCCCAATTTCTCGGAGGTATACCATATTCTTCACATTCGATTCACTCCTCATCGCCTGCGTATGTAACAATACATACAATAATCATCCTATAATTTAATTGGCATCTGATCATCCTATAATTCGATTCACTCCTCATCGCCAGTTTATTCTATATATATAGGAAAATTCTCAGGTCCGAAAGTTCGGACATTCGGACCTGAAGCGCCGTCCGAACACCGCCGTTTGGAGCGGTTCCCGATGAAATTTTTCGATGAAATTTTTATGGTATGTTATGCATCAAGTCTAGTTTATTCACAAAAAAATTCAGCTCAACTCAAAACTCGATCTGTAAAGCCGTCAGATAATTTTTGGAAGTTGATTGCGTTTTTCTATGTATAATTTTGCGCAGTTAATTTCCAAAAATTATTTGACAGCCTTCCCGGTCGTATTTTGAGTTGAAATTTTTTGTGGATAAACTACACTTGATGAAGAACATACTATAAAAATTTCATCAAAAAAATCCACCGGGAACCGCCCTGAACGACATTGTTCGGACGGCTTTCGAACCAAAACCTGTTGGACGGGGAATGATGCCCCTTGGGAGTGGTGCCCTAGGCCACTGCCTAGGTGCCTACCCCTATGGCCGGCCATGAATCCGGTTAACGAATTAAGACTGAATAGGACGAATCCGGCTAAGAAACAATCAAACCACAACACAAATTACTCGAGCGCACTTTGAACAAGCTGCCATAAACCGTGGGTCCAAATAAACACAACCAGATCTGGTCGTGATACCCACATATCTTATACTACTATTATTATTGGTTTAGTCTTTGAGTTCCCACTATCAAACTGGTTCGACTGCCATGAATTAAAATAAATTTGAGGCCGAAGGCTTTACGGGAGTTTGTATCTGCTTTTTTAAACTGTTTCTGCTCCTTCAAAGAGTAGAAGCGGATATTGGTGTTTTTGGTGAAAGTGCAAAAGTACTTCTTGGTGCTTCAAATTGCTCCTAGAAGCAATTTTATGGGGGAGACTAACTTCTGTAAAACTGATTCTGATTCTGCTTCTTTTTATTAAAAAAGAGAAACAGAATCAATTCCAAGCACCTCCATGTATATGTCGGTTTGTTTTTTATGAGCTTGATTGGTGAGAATGACTCATCTTTTTTAACTTTAGATATCGTGCGCTGAATTGTACCGTATAATAATCAAAATTAGATAAAATTGAAGCTACTTTTCAGGTTGAATTGATTAAAGTTACTGTGGAGAACTATTTTAGCTATTTGTTCATATATTCTTTTCTTTTTTTATTAATAAAATACATTTTAAATACTCCCTCCGTCCCGGAATTATCTTCATTCTTTCCTTTTCGGTCCGTCCCAAATTTATCTCATTTTTCCCTTTTTGGTTAAGAATATGTGGTTCACAATCATTCTTACACATTTCTCTCTCCTTACACATTTCTCTCTCCTCTGCATAACTCTCCACCACACAAATCCTACTATCTTAAAACTCGTGCCCGGTCAAAACCGGAGTTAAATATGGGACGGATGGGAGTATAATTTTTCGCAATTCAGTAGATTCGGCCGTTTTAGCCGAAGTTTCATCAATTGCAACGAGTTCAATCAATTCAGTCAATGTTGTTGGATTCAAGTGATTCAATCAACCTCAGAGGTAAACTTAAAAACGTGAAATATTACCTCTTTGAGTGTCTCTGGTTTGGAAATTTGCTTTCTTTTGTCACTCTCAACTAGAACCATTCTGGTGTATTCCGAAGGTACGCCTGATATCAAGCTCAGCTTCACAACCTGTGGTTGAATGAATATGCCAGGGATTTATGAGATGTGAGTGTCAGAATAGATGCATTTTCTAGTTATTTACACTTGTGAGACTAACTAAAGCATAAAAGACCTTATTCTGAAGTTCTTTCCTTCTGGTCAACCACGCCTGAGCTGTCAGCGTTTTGATCTGTCTCCCCGCAAATACCTGCCAAATTTATTTTGAACTTAGGGAATCACATGTTATTAGACTTGGGAAATAGTGCTTTCCTAGTAATTCTCTCCAATGGTGGATACATATTTCATTCTCTCATGTATACTATAAAGTTTACACTAACAAAAACAGTTGTGATGTTCTTTTTGTAATGATTAGTTTCAAGTCTTAAACTTGCAAAACAAAAAATTCAACACATATATATGTGCAACGTTTGGAAACTCACTCTTTCAAGAGGCATATCCTTCACTTTGCGCACTTTCACACCAATCTCAAAATCCCTCAGATCAGCCAAAGTGCCCTTAACTTTGACATTCTCGGGGAAGTTCCCATAGTATCTCCCATATATCATTAATGGCCTTTCGTACAGCAGGTCTGGAAAACAATTTGGGTATAGCTACATATATGAACATTCATTACAAGATTAGCAATATGATTATACTCATCATTATCACTACATAGGAAAATAGAGTGTAATCATTGTTACTATATCATATTATCATTGATTAAGTATATGTGTCTAGACCCCAGGATCCACATACTCAGAAGAATAAGAGGCAAAACTGTCACTCAGTGGGACCTCTGTCGGCCAGATGGCCCTCCATCGGCCAGAAAGACATCAACTCAGAACATGATCCAGAAGTCAGGAGAACCAGGTGTCTCCGTCAGCCAGGTCTTCGTCAGCCATACCCTCATCGGCCACAGAGAACTCACAAAATCGGATTTCATACTTAGTCATTTCTACATACTTTGTACTCGGCCCAGTAGTGGCCCGATTGTAAATGGGCCTTTCAAGCCCAAGACTTGGGGGCCCAGCCCACATTTCCTCTATAAACACTCCCCTTTGGAGTAGTTTTAGGGGTTCACAAAATTCATTTATTGCGGTACTAATTGCACTTCTCTCTCTAGTTCTCACTTCTCTCTAGAATATATACTCTATCAACCATCATAATCACTCTGCAGTAGTATGTCATTATTTCTTACTAGTAATAATAATAGAAAACATGATGTGTATTACTAATAACAGAGTTTCTTTGAACAAAAATATGACTAGTTATGTTTTTTTGACAAAAATATGACTGGTCACTATATCGATAAGTCACTATATTGTATGTAGCATTTCAGAGTGACAAATCACTGATAGATGATGAGTCACTGGAAACTAGTCACTAAACATGTCACTTTTTGGAAAATTTTAAAATAAGTCATATTTTTGTCTTTTAAATTTAATTTAATACTCTCTCCGTCCCGTTAAGATTGTCCCATTTTACCTTTTTCGGAAATCCCACTATGATTGTCTCATACCAGATTTGGTAAAGTTTGTGTGGTTCTAAATAATTCTTACTTTATTCTTACTTTATCAATTTAATATCAACCACACAAACTCACTTTTCTTAATAATCGTGCCACATTCTTTTGTCTCAATCTTAGTGGGACGAAGGTAGTAATATTTTGTGGAATAAGGCCATAATAATAATAAGAGATTTTTCTATAAATATTATTGAAATAAAACTTACGGACAATATTGTGATTAAAGTTACTATGAGTGTTCATCAAGGTCATTACAATACCAATTGAAGAACGTAATTAAAGTTACTCTTATAGTCGATAAAGTATAAGGATGTTTTTACTTGGATTGTAATTCCTCCCAGGCCAGACCATACCATACCATACCAGATCAGACCAGACTTGGATAGTTATAAAAATACAAAGAAACCAGACCAGACCAGACCAGACCAGTAAATTACAGTCCAAGTAAAAACATCCTAAAAAGGCACAGTTTTTTTCTACTATCCTCATTTTGGTCATACATTCATCATTATTTATAATAATAATAATAATATTAATAGTAATATTAATAGTAATGGTAATGGTAATGGTAATGGTAATGGTAATGGTAATGGTAATGGTAATAGTAATAGTAATATATTAATAATAATAATATATTAATAATAATAACGTATGGATAGGCTTCGTAGTGCACCTCAACTCAATTAATAATATATTAATATTAATAATAATAACGTATGGATAGGCTTCGTAGTGCACCTCAACTGAATCAAGATATTGCAGAGCATCAACTTTTATATCAACAAGGATAGCTGATGATGAACTTTCAAAGAGTCTTTCCAGCCTGGGACAGATAGTTTCTGCAAATGTGGAATAAGTATTACAAAAAGAGAAACAAAGAACTCATTATTGAAGCCAAATGCCAAAAAACAGAACGTGACTAGAAATAAACAATACAAAAAAAATGACTGACCTATATCATATGCAGCATCATGATAACCCCTTCCAATACTTGCAACCATTTGTAAAAAGTAGTGATTGCAATAATACCCTGGATGGAGAAAATGATTTTTAAAGACAAATGTGCCTTTTAGACTGTATTTATATCCTATTTGTTAAAAGTCCCACATAGAATACATAAAGAACATATCGGTTGCAAAAGTTTGAAATAGACAATCTAAAGGATCAGATATTCAGATTCAATTTTATATTTAGATTTAGCCAATTATGAACTATATCAGTACTTGCACACATGGGATGAGACATAATGATACAGGTAGGATAAAGGTTGGAGAAAAGTTCAGAAAATGACAGAAAAATATCTCAACGATAGCTTCAAGTGAACAATTTTAGCTCGAGATAATTTGAAAATTTATTTGATACTACGTATAATTTTACATTGTCTAAACCCCGATGTCATGTGCCGGTTCATGTTAACCGACCCAAAATTCTTTTGGGATTAAAACTTGGATGTTGTCATTGTTGCTCACATTGTGTAAACTTTTCCCTAACCATCCCTAATATCATAATCTCATGGACAATGAACGTGTATAGATGGAGTTAGAGAAATACTAAAAATGGTGGTGAGATAATTTCAGGGTAAACTTTAGAGTTTAGAGTGATTTAATTCTAAACTTATAGTTTACCCTGGCCCTCTCCTTTGCACCTTTTCACATTGGTATATAACTGTTTTTCACATTGGTATAATCGCTAGAGCATTAAAAGATCAAATCAAGTGAACTCACCAATGCCAAATGTGCATATCCGAGGACTGTTTGAGCCTACTTTTGTTAGATTGTCTCTTATGACTTCACAGATTTCTCGTTCATCTTCAACAGCCCCATCAGTTATAATAAAAATAATTGGAATTGAATGACTGCACTTAGAAACCACCTTTATTGCCTGACATAAGCAAGTTGGTAGTATATATGACCAACAATTTTCTTAAGTGGAACAGAATATGTTTCCAAATACTGCCTTGATTAATGAAAATGTATATATTATATGTGATTTTGTATCTTTATATTTAGCCAGTGTGGGATGATTTTATAGTCTCAAAATAAGGCTTCTTGTTCAACCTCAAAACAACTCTCAAGAAGCAAGGTCTGTTGGATAATTATTCAGGGGTTTGTTAATTCATATGTAGCCATCAGGAGACCATCTTCATGACAATGATTAGGTCCACTGGAGGCACAAAAGCATATGTTCACTATATTAATGGTGGATTTCACAAGTACCTGATCTAGAGCAGGTAAAAAACAAGTGCTTCCATTGGCTACAAAATTTATGTTTATCCATTGGGCTGCATTTTCAATTGTTTCCTTTGTTGCTAGCTCCATCTTTGATGAGAACGATAAGCTCATGCCATTGAAAGCAATAATGTTAAAAGTATCTTCTGGACCAAGCTTACATAAAGCAGACAACAACGAAGTTTTCACGTTCTCTATTGGCCCTCCGTGCATGCTTCCGCTTGTGTCAACAACATATACAATTTCATTCTTGAAAAGCTACAATGAAAAGATGAGATCTAACTGGCATTTGATTCCTAGAGATCTTTATTGAGAAAATCCAGTGAACAATACAACATAAATATTCAAGACAAACCTTTTTTGGGATATCATGAGGAGGGTGAAGATATAAGCAAAACATATTCCTCTGATCAGAATCAAGCCGAGAAGGAGACCTCACGAGCAGACCACCAGAACCATTTACCTGATGTAAGGCAATACCAAAAAAACTAGTATCAGTATAGGATACTCGATCTAGTGGTATATTAAGACTATACTTGTATAATAAGGATATTAAGACTTGAAGTCTCATCCCAAAAGTAAACTTCATGAGAGGAATAGAGAATTGAGAAGTGATACTGTATATGAAAATCTGAAGTCATTTCTGGACCACATAGCCACTTCACTCTCATACATGAGACTGATATTCCCAGTAACGCTCTTCTTTTCCTATGACGAAAAAGAAATAAATCAGTGTGATAAACAGGGGCAATAAAGTATTATTTCATTGCAGGATGCTGATCTCAAACCAGAAAATAAACATACCACTAAGGGGTGGCTAGCACTTTGGTAACAAACCACATTTCCAACGCCAGAGTTCACATTCAAACTTATTTCTTCTTTTTTCCTCTTTTTTCCAACAGGGTTGACATTTACAGGAAAGCTGAAAGGTATAGTCAAGCAAAGCTGACCATCGTGATACGAGACTTTCTGGGACCAACGAGCTTCAACAGATAAAACAGATCCTCCAGGAACCTTAAACATTCAAAATGGTCAATACTTGTAGAGAAATGAGATAATTAACGCACTGATACAAGTGGGTGAGTTACCTGGGGAACCTTTAATGTGTATATATGTGGTTTTAGCAAGAACCCTTCTTTAGCATTGGCTAGTTTACCGGGATCATCGGTCTCATCAGGAGCAATCAGTTCAGTGAGAAATGATCTTGATGTGGTTTCAATTGCTACACCTAGAACTGAACCCTGTTAGCCAAATTATTTCTATTTTGAGAACAAAAGAATCAAAGCATCACAGTCCAAATGTTGCACTTTTTCACAAAAAGTAACAATTGATACACCTACAACTGAACCCCTGTTAGCCAAATCATATATATTGTGATAAACTAGCCCCTTTTAGCATGCACAGTGTTAGTGTATGAGGATCTCATGCTTTTCTTTACAAATGACCCTTTTTTAGTATTAACTTTGGGACTGGTTCAAATATTGACTGTACTCCTAGTTTTTAATAAATTATTAGATATTGTTCTTGCCATCTTGGGCTACATGGTTGAAGTGTGCCTTTCAGATGTATATACTTGATATGAATACAACACCCAGAAACAGTGGCAGTGCTAGAAGTTTGGTTTGAGTGCTACAAACAGAAACCAAAGGTTAAAAAAGAATATGTAGGATGAAAGTTCATATTTAAGTATATTATTTCATAATTCTAAATATTTATACTATTAAATACGTGTAGAATTTTTTTGTGTGGAGACTGCGGACCCCTCTAGTCACTCCTCATTTCACCACATAGCCCGTACGACATACTTTTTTAGTTCATTTTTATGTACCTTACTTTGATTATACGAATTACTTTTTAGTTTTTACTAATAAAAAGGGACAACCCAGCATCCTCGCATGGTGAAGGTTCGGGGGAGGGTCCCAGTATAGGAGCATATAGGGGATGAGCCTTTCAAATAAGAGGTCGCTACCAAGACTTGAACCTCTAAACTCACACCAACAGTAAAACGATGCATTAAGACTCCCCTTCAAGTATTTTTCACTAATATATAGAAAGAACTGATAATACTATCTTTGGTAAATTTACCTTATTTTTTTTATCTGATAATGCATCAAACCCCCTGTGATATAGAAATTCTGCGCATTAGCTTTCTGTGATTTAATTATGCGTAAAATCCATTCTATGAACAAATTCAATTGTCAAATAAAAGAAAAATGATTAACATTTTTGTATGATTTAGAGATTTTGACATCGTTATTTGCATATCCAATTAGAATATTAGGAAAAGTGATTTCCAAATTGTTAAATTTATCGATAAAAGGAGTTCTGTGCATGATTAATTAGAAGATAAAGGGGTTTGATGCATTTTTCAAATCACGGAGGCTAGCGCTGCATTGTTGTATCATGAAGGGATTTGGTGCATTAAACCTTACTTTTTGCTGATTTTCAACTTCTATTCCTACTTTTTCTATCTTTTGATTAGATTTTTCATACGTTGTTTATCCTTACTCAAATACTTTTCACATTTTCCCACACTATTAATCACCTTTTTAAGTTTTTTTATTAATCAGTGAAAAACTATAGTTGCAAATAAAACATGGAGGGAGCATTTAAAACGTTACTCCGTACCAAATATATCTCCTATTATATTTTTAAAGGTTTTATTTAAATATTAACGAAATAAAACTTATATACGAAAATGTGACAAGTACATATTGTCATAGTCCCTAAAATGTAAAATTTGAATAGTAGTTACTATGTTTAAAGATATTAATATAATTACTCCAATTAAGAGGTCACATTTTTAAAACAATTTTTATTATTAGTCATAAAAATATGTATGCCGAATGACCCAACCTGCTCTCCCATTGGTACAGCAATCCTACATTCGCAGCTTCTGCTAGCAGAGACGCAGTGCAACCGCCATGCGCCGTTGACCGTCACGAACGCCGTGTCCAGACAAACGTCCACCTCCATCGCCACCGCGTGCATTTCAAGCGGAATCAACGCCGGCGGCACGCACCGGCCGTGCACGTACGGCTGGTAGCTCGGGATGTCCGGGTTATCCACAACCGCCGGGTCCCTAATCACGGCGTACATCATAGGCGCCGTCGGCAATAAGTTAGACTCCGCCGCCGGCGCCTCCTTCTCCATCCACTGTGGCTTCGGCGGCTCCTTCCCGTAGTAAATTCTCTTAGAGAGCTGGAGGCCGAGGTCAACGGCCCTGACAAAATCCTCCGCCATGTTGACCGGCAAAGTGTCGGTTCACGTCGAAGGTGAAGAGGCTCAAGAAGTGTACATTAGTGAACTGTTGTTATACTGAACGCAAAGTACGGAGCAATTAATACCAGCAAAAGTTGGTGGATTATGCCAAGATTGGATCAAGTTAAATACTTGCACTTATTGAATAATAATGCTTTTATGTTATCTCACATGATATTTTAAGTCCCACAAATTTTTTGTTGATCAATATGTCTGAATGAGACAAATAAGATTCTTTGTTCTACTCGTAGGACGCTTTGATAATTACTTGTACGGAGAATAAATTGTAGATACATATTTTTAATTGGATCCAAATTTAGATCTATATAGATATTTTTCATTGAAGTTTAGTATGCTTTGTTCTGTTTAAGATTTTTCTAGGAGTGAAATGAGTCTAATTAAAAAGATCTTAGGTGTGTTTGGGAGTTGGATTTTGGAGGGGAGGGGAGGGGAAGGTTAATGGGGGGTTTATGACCCTCCTTTTTCATGTTTGGGAGTTTAAAAAATTGGAGGTGGTGGTTTTGGAATGTTTTGTAACCCTTCAAAACCCTCCAAATGCTTAATTTTTAAGTTCCCTCAATTTGGAGGGTTTTGGAGGATAATTAACAAGATGGTAATTTAAGCAAAATTAGAAATGAATATCAGCTCAATGATTTGAATTCGTTATATCTCAAAATTATTTTAATTATAATTCCTTCAAAAACCATCTCTTTCCAATTTTATTACTCCCAAATACAAAGAAGGGTTTCCTCACCTTCCCCTCATTTTCCCCTCCAACAATATATCTTCAAAGTCTTCCTCTCCCCTTCCCTCCAAACTCCCAAACATATCGTTAAAGTTTGAATATAGAGCACACAAATTAGTGAAGGGAAAATTTCACAAATATGAGAAAACAATTTACAATTCCAAAATATGAATATTTTAGAAATATACTGTTTTTATTCTCTAATTATTGTCGAAATATACTGTTTTTATAATTTTATTAATATTTTTATTAAATAGGAGTTCAAATCTATTGGTGTACATTAGTACATGTGCCATGAATAATATGGGTTTTTATACGAGTATGGTTTATTGTTGAATTTATGCATGAAGCCAAGGTAAGGATGTTTTTTTTGGAAAGAACAAGACAATGACAAGTGAGTCAAGAGACAAGTTTAACATGGCTCGGGACCTAGAGGTATACCCAAAGTAGGGGTATTCATCAAGTATCAACCAATAAATAAATAAATTTGTGGAGGAATTGGTACATATTTTAATTTGTACTTCCTCCGTTCCTAAATATCTGTCAAATTTATTGAATGTTGGAAAAATGTGTTAAAATTGCATTAAATGGTCCTTTTGGGGCAATTATTTGAGTGGGGTCCACTTCCGATTTGGGTCGGGTCAAAGTGGTTTCGGATTGTCCTTGTTAAGGGCTACAATTCGATATATGGTACACTCAAAACGGATAACGGGTGAATGAGAAATTGATTCTCGAAGTTCACCCGTTGAAATGGAAAAACTGGGAAAATGGTGAGTTTCTAGTGTGTTTATCCCACACCGAAAAACTCAAGGAATTTTCACCCCTTTATAAAGGGAAGCCTCTTTTAAGGAGTTAAGATTCCTGATGGAGTATATGGCCCGGGAACCCCCGGCCCACAGACTCCTACTACTCCAGCGAAGGCCCAGAAGGCCCAACAGGCCCAAATCACAGCGCCCAGAGTACCAAGCAGCCCGCACTACGCGCCAGGGGTGCCTTCGGCCCCCTGGCCGAAGGCTCTAAATTCTCACAGAACGGGTTTCTCAAGCAAATTAAGAAACTGGGAGAAAACGGCGAAAACAGTAGCCCTCGGCACTATGAGCCCTCGGCACCAGGGGTGCCATCGGTTGGAGGAGCCCTCGGCTACTGCTCTATAGCCGAAGGCATCTCATTCGACAAGATATCCGCCTCACATGCGTACAGATCACCGTACCCTGCACAGACGTCCCATCCAACAACCGCATTAAATGCGGCCACATGCGGCTGCCAGCGCCAACCAGTTGAGGTGACCCCTCGGCCAATGAGCGCTCGACACGTGTTCCTGTCCGGCATTTATTGCTACTATAAATAGCACCCCATTTCCTCATTTGTAACCACGCTGAAAACGCCCCGCATTTATAATACTCTCTCTCTCTCTACATTTACTTGCTCTGACTTCTCTCTAAGTTATTCCCCGCAATAACCCTTCGGATATATACCCCCAGGTAGACTATCCATCATTTGGTCCTCCCGCATGGTGAAATGGGCTATCTTCTTGAGCCAATACAACATTGACATCCGTCCAAGGCCTGCCATCAAGGGCCAAGCCCTAGCGGACTTTGTGACGGAATGTACCGCAAGGGCAGCCACGGACGGGGAGCCCTCGGCTACCTCGGACGACTGGTGGACCCTCTACACCGACGGCTCCTCCGCGACCAAAGCATGCGGGGGAGGGGTAGTCCTCATTACTCCCGAGGGCTTCAGAGCCTACTATGCAATCCGCTTCTCCTTCAAGGTCTCCAACAACGAGGCCGAATATGAGGCCCTCCTATGTGGCCTTCGGCTGGCTGCCAACATGAGGGCTCGGCAGATCCACATCAAATGCGACTCCAAGTTGGTCGTTGGCCAAATCTCCGAAGAATATGAGGCCAAGGAGGGAAGAATGAAACAATACAAGGAAGCGGCCAAGGAGTTGCTCAAGGTATTTGAGGCACACTCTCTCACTCAAATACCGAGGGCTCAGAACTCCGAGGCCGACATACTATCTAAGCTCTCAGCCGACTCCCCCGAGCACATCTCCAAGATTGCTAAAATTGAGGAACTCAGTCTCTCAAATATCCATGCAAGCCCCGTGATGAACATACAACAACGCCAAGAGGATTGGATCTCAGATATCACCACCTTCATCTCCACAGGGCAGCTACCCGAGAATGAGACCCGCGCTAAACTAGCAAAGCTGAGGGCTCCTAGCTACACCATCGAAGATGGAAGGCTCTACAAACGATCTTACAATGGCACGCTACTTCGGTGCCTTCATCCAGATGAAGCCGAGGTCACAATGGAGGAAGTGCACAATGGCACTTGCTCAGCTCACCAGGGACCCTTCTCCATGTCCCGAAGGCTCATTCTCCAGGGCTACTTCTGGCCAACCATGGCCAGAGATTGTGCTGACCTTGCCCGGAGGTGCACCGCATGTCAACATTTCCAGAAAGCCCCCGGCAGGCCAGCGGTCAACTATGCCCCCATCAGCACATCTGTCCCTTTTTCTCGATGGGGGATAGACCTCGTGGGCCCTCTGCCGAGGGGTACCTCCAACAACAGGTACATCATTGTGGCCATCGACTACTTTACCAAGTGGGTGGAGTCTGAGCCCCTCGCCAGTATCACAGAGGCGAAGTGCCGTCATTTTGTCCTCAAGAACATCCTCACAAGGTTTGGCGTCCCTCAGCAAATTATCTTCGACAATGGGACACAGTTTGAGGCAGCCCCCTTCTGTGCCCTTCTGGAAGCATGGGGCATCAAGCACACCTTCTCCTCCGTTGCATACCCTCAAGGCAACGGGCAAGTAGAGAATGCCAACCGGACCTTGCTCGAGGGCCTCAAAAAGAAGCTGGAGGCCGAGGGCGGTGGCTGGGTGGAAGAACTCCACAACATCCTTTGGGCCTACCGCACCACCCCCCGGCGAGCAACAGGTGAAACACCCTTCTCCCTCTGCTACGGTTTTGAAGCCAAAGCTCCTACGGAAGTCACCCTTCTCACCCGAAGGGTGATCCAATATGACCCCGAGGTCAACGACAGCAACATGGCCCTCGACCTCCACCTCATTTCAGAATGCCGGGAGCAGGCCTTCATCCGGGCAGAAAACTACCGAAGGCAAGTTAAAAGCTACATCGACGCCAAAGTTCGCACCCGAGAATTTCAAGTGGGGGACTATGTCCTCCGGAGGAGGGAAGCCAACCAACCAACCGAGGGAGGAAAAATGGCACCAAAATTCGAAGGCCCCTACATCATAGCAGCCATCATCAAACCTGGGACCTACAAGCTCAAACGCCCCAACGGGAAAGAAGTCCCTAGGCACTGGAATGTACACCACTTAGTTAAATTTTATCAATAATGTAAGAGCGTCCAAGCCCTCATAACTAGTGAATGTACTATCCTATGGCCCAAGGCCTCCAATTTTGAAGAATGAAGATACATTCAAGACATCAAGCCCTCATACTACAGGCCCCCGGCCTCACCACGAGAAGAACCCCCTCCGGCACCAAGTGCCGAGGGCGGACACCATCAACACCTACGACAACAGTGAAAACACCACGTGTTTTCAGTCAAGACTCCTCGGTACCAAGTACCGAGGGAGGGAACTCCTATCACCAACAACAAGGAACGCCATGTGTTTCATTTCCCTTCGGCACCCAGTGCCGAGGGTACATTCCCACCTTCAACATCAAAAAAGAAAAGATGAGAACACCAAGTGTTCCTACAGAAGACCCTTCGGCACCCAGTGCCGAGGGTACACCTCCATCATCAAACATCGAAACGAAGAAAAAACACCAAATGTTTCAATGAAGACCCCTCGGCACCTAGTGCCAGGGATATGCTCTCCTATCAACTTCCAAACATCTGTTGGGAAACACCAAGTGTTTCATTTGAAGACCCTTCGGTACCAAGTATCGAGGGTAGACGCCTACATCAACTACAACAAAAGAGAACACCAAGTGTTCCTACAGAAGACCCCTCGGTACCAAGTATCGGGGGCTACACATCGAAACTAACACCAAGTGTTGTTTCTAAAAGCCGTACCCCATGAGGACGCATATACCGAAGGCGCCACCATCGGTGCCGGCGGCACGTAGTGCCCCCGGCCATTTGCAACTAGTGTGCAAATGAAAACCCTTCCTTGAAACGCTTTCCGCGTCACTACCCCCAGGGTATGACAGGCATGAGAAATGCCAAGGATTCGACTTTCAAAAACGGAACGCTATCCGCGTCACTACCCCCAGGGTATGACAGGCATGAGAAATGCCCAGGATTCGACTTCCAAACCGAAACGCTCCCCGCGCCACCACCCCAAGGGTGTGGCAGGCCACGGACTATGTCTAGCGCCGAGGGGA